CAATCTTAAAGCCATCACACGTACAAAAATTTTAGTCGTAATCGTAAAGCCGTAAGCAAATCGGCCAATCACATTCGAGGGTTTAAAAACTCGAGATCTCAATTTTGATTGTGATTGGTCGATTTGTTTGCGACCTTACGATTCCCACTAAAATTTTTGTACGTGTCATGGGCTTTACGTGTTACGGCCTTACGTTTTTGTTTGTGCCATGGGCTTGAGAACAAACAGTTTTTTTCCGCGTCGAACAGAGAGGCGCCGATCGCGACGCCGGTCCATCGCCTCAGCGTCTTCGCTCGGCGAAGTTATGTATATGTATGTACGTGTATACTAATGCGTAGTGGGCCCACCGAATAGTACTAACGAAATATTTGTTAAATGTAAACATATATTTATTCGATTTAAACATAACTGTTTTATTTTGAATAAATATTTATTTACTATAAATAAATATTTCGTTAGTACTATTGGAGTAAATATTTATTTAAAATCTGCATATTTTTTTTCAGTGTATGCATATACGATATCGATGTAGTGCACGAAATCGTATGTGTGCATTTAATCAGCGATTCTTTGGAATTCGGCCGTCAGTCCAGCATCTCCTTAATGATACAAAACTGTTTTTCATGATGTTCAGATCTTTTATAATTAAAAATAGAATATTTTGTTACCGGAACGAAGCAATTCCATAAGAATATATCTTTCTCACTTTCAGAATGAAATTATGTTTGGTGTTTTTGAACTTCCTTACTTTATAGAAAGGGTATATTATAGACTTATTGTTAAATCGATTAATTACTAACATTTTCGTATTAGGATTTTCGACTTAAAATTATTTGAGGAGCACGTTCTTAAAAAATAATCCGGTAGTTGTGTGCAGGACACCCTGTATAGTAAAATAAGAGAGAGAGAGAGAGAGAGAGAGAGAGAAAGAGAGAGAGAGAGAGAGATTTCTCTTCGTAACAACCTATCGAGGAGGAACTGTCGGGCCAATTGTACTTAGTACTACTTATAATATAGGAAAAGGCAACAACATGCTACGTGATTCAACCTGGAGTAATTAATATCTACATTACTAAACGGAAGACTAATTTCTATTCTCCTGCAAAGACAGATAATTACAAATTATTTAAAAATGACACAGGTCATTCCACTTGGATCGTTCGATCACCTCCGAGTAAAGCACTAAGGAAAAATATAAACAGGAAATGATAATGCAGTCGCAATGATAGAAATAAATCTAGCGATCCAATCATTCCCGTTAAAAATTCTTGTAAGTTTTTTGTACCAGATTTTAAAATTTAAGAGTTGTATGTGATCAATCAAAATTACTAAATGAACGTACATGATCATATAAGAATCTTATATAATTTGTACATGAATCTCACCAGTAATTTTTAATGACCTTAGGAATCTGGCATAAATCGTACACGACGATTTATATCGCAATGAAAAGATTTTAATAGCTTAAATTTAACCTAATAAGATACTCTTAAGAAATAATTTATTTACATGATCGTTCCAAAGTAATAAAAGTATCGATCATCTCAGTAAACGAAATGGAATTATTGAATGAACAGAAACTGGATTGAATATATGAAATGGAAAAGAATTAAAAAAAATTAAAAAATTTGTTAGAATACTAAAGATGACTGAATAAAAGGTCGAAACGTATATTATCACAATCTTAATGAATTGATAAATTATAATTGATAAATTAATTTCGCTATAATAACTGGCGTAGGCTTTTTATACTCCTTTCCAAATTAAGTTTGATTTAGTCGAAAAGCCGTTATTCAATTTGTGTAAAAAGAATTAATTTTTAGCCAAAATGAATTCTTTTAAATCGCATTCAACAATCCTTGTTTGTTCCATTCCATTTTATTTACTGAGATACGAGCAATAAATCACACAAAATTCCAATAGTATTCTTGTAATATTTTCATAATAACACTCCAGTTATATTTTTGCAAGATTCATGTAACATGCTTATAAGATTCATGTAACATCGGTGTAAGATTCATGCAAGATTCTTGATTTACTTACAGGTATCATTTGCGATATATTCCTATACGATCTTGTATGTTCCTGTCCGAAATTCGTACGTGAAAATTTTCTTGGAAGATCTTACAAGAATTTTTCTTGTAAGAATTTGCAGCAGGGATAATTCACTGTAAATGAAATTCGGCTTAACTTTCGGTTAACGTCCAACGTGGTCATCCGATATTTATCTGGTACTTACATACGAAGCTATTTGACAAACGTAATTGACGAGCGTTTCGCAACAAACGAGCTACCCGGTCTGACGTACAGTCAGCAACTAAAAAGAGGTTGCAACACGTTTTTTTCAATGAGTCTTAAAATACAGTCTGCTTACCGAGCGATTGGTTATTACTTATAGATTCATAAACAAAAATCAATCGCTCGGTGAATAGGCTGCATTCCGAAACCTATTAAAAAAAAGTGCAACCTTTTAGTTGCTGACTGTACATATGTATCATATTTAACTATATTGGCTATGTTTCAAATTTACTGCCAGCACTAAAAATCTATAGTTTATATTATGTACATTATAGATTTTCAGTACTGACAGTTTCACCAAAACATTTTAATTAATTACTTCTTCTATTCGCGCAATTATTTTTTTATTCCACGTTTGATTCATTAACGTTTAGTATGAATCGCTCATCCAATGTATTAAGTTTCGTCATCATCGCTTCAAATCGATGAAATTAATCGCAATAAGTTTATGAAATTTATTCGTATCTTTTCTGCATCCATTCCTTCTTGCGTAGTTCTTACATTTTCAAATAAGAAAATGCCGCCATTTTTATTGATGTTGCAAGGTTACCACACTTGCGCACAGATTTCGTCATGTTACACTAACATATACAGGGTGTCCCAATAACTATTAGCACCTGAAATATCTTCGAATATATAGTATAAGGTCTAGATAAAAATTTGTGCAACCAAAATTGCACGGTTCATTCCATTTAAAAAAATTAAGTTGACCTTCAAATCTCCTAAGCGCCTCCACTTAGGAAAAAATTATTATCGCCATATAATAGCCCCCTTCATATCGTGCAATTTTGGTTGTACAAATTTTTTTCTAGACCTTATATATTCGAAGATATTTCAGGTGCTAATAGTTATTGGGACACCCTGTATATTCCCAGCTTCAGTAATTATTACGTCGTAAAAAATATACTAATAAAAAAACTTTCAATTTTGGACATATAATTAATATATACAGATACGTTGTGTGTGTGTGCATTAATTTTTATTTGAAAAGAAGAAAATGTTCACGGAAAAATATAATATATATAGATATCGTCGTTAGGCACATAATGTTCTAAATTTGTTGTACATCAGCTTTGCTTCCGTATTATTACGTCGCGCGATAAAATTTAATGATTGAAATGTAATAAGAGATTAATGCCGGAAGTAAGAAATAAAAATGAGAAATCGTAAAGAGCAGTAAAGTGATTTCGTAATGATACATAGCGTGATTCGTCTAATGGTGTTTAATTTGTGTATAACGAAAGTCCGCGATTAGAGCAAAAATTCAAAAGTGACAATGTAGCGTATTAGCGCGATTTCATAATATTGCAACATAAAATAAGAAAAATATTGAAATTATATTCATCTTAACGAGAAATTTTATTATTTAAAATAAAAGGCATATTAAAGAGAAATATAAAAAAAGAGATATTAAAAGAAGAAAAATATTTTTAAAAATATTGCACAAGGGTTATATATATTAAAAATATATTTAATACCTGAAACAAAATTATATCTTAAATAATATATAATATTTAAATTATGAATTATAATTATCATAGCTAATTAAAGTTATAATTTTCTCACAGCATAATTTGGATGAGCAGTTCTAAATAAACATAATTATCATAAGGCGCATAAATTATATATATTCATGCCCAATTAAAATCTTATATCAAAATGAGGTCAAAAGTTCATTTTCTCATTTTTACGAAATTGCCAATTGCGTTTAATTTATTTCTTAATGAGAATTTCTGGATCGTTATCGAATTTGTATACGCAGTATTTCTTAAATCAAACTATGAGAAATGAATATTTTGTACGTCGTATGCACTTTGACATCTATAAAAAAAAGTTAAATATATTACGTAGAAGATGAAGAGGACGTACTAGACTGAACTGGAAAATCCGGTTATTACGTAGATTTTCCGACAGCACACAGTGGGCATAAAGTCGCTTTTTATGATCAAAAAACGTTCGACAGTTGAATTTTATACCGATTGCAATGAATTTTTTAAAGATACTCATTTACTGTACTATAGCGAAAATTTACATGCTTTTTAATGTTGCAATTTGTTAATTAACAAAAATTGTAAATTTATACAAACTTTTTGTCAAACATTTTTAGTGTGTTCATAATTCCTTCAATATTCGAGGGTTTTCGAGGTCGTTGATTACAAATTAAACCATCACTTAAATTTCAAAATTCAAAATGCTGAATCCAATATGGTGTCCGCGAATTGGAAATATAATAATAAGACAAATTCCTTAAAATTTGATATATAGTATGTTATTATAAACGGCAATAATTTTAATATAAAGTAATAAAGAGTACACAAAACACATGTCACAGTTTTTAATTTCCTTCCAAATGTGTTCAGCGATACCCGGAACTAAATACGTTTCTTTGATTAAAATAATCATTTTTGATTAACTTTGATTAATATAATCTTTAATTAACATAAATCATTATTATTAACAATAATTTAGGGAACACATTGAACAACAAATTTTTTTTATAATACGAAATCCTATTAGATAGAATCTTACGAAAGTTGCTAAAGGGATTCTCGTATCTGGAATGATTCAGTTTGATGCAATTTGATCAGAAGCAATCCAAAGGCGGGTGTAAAAGCGTTAATGCTCGCACGTGATATGAGGAGGGGGACACGTATATATACGATGACGTTTGCTACTCTGACTTAATAGTCACACATAACGAACCGGGCAAGCTTTTAAAGATCGTGTTAATCGTTTGAGCTCATTAAAAGAAACGTTTTCTCTTCCGTCACCCGTTGAGATTTCTCCCCTCATCGTTGACCGGAAATACACTCGAAATGAGATACTCGTCGATGACGATCTGCGTCATCGTGGCACTCGCGCTGCCGAAATCTATCTGTGGACATCCTGCGGTTGACAACGGCAGGTAATCATTTATTTTATACATGCATATTCGCAAAAATATCCAGTTGATCATGGAAAGTCGGGAAATCGATATTTTGGTACACAGTCTTGTTTCAACGAATGAATTGACTTTCGTTTTGTTCTTTTGACTCTCACGCAAAATTTTCTTATGTTACATACGTTGCAGAACAATCTTTTCCCTGCCTGCAAATCTCTTCGTAACGCTGCTTGAAATCGGTTGTTTTCTTGTCGAATTGAAAATGATCCAGTCTCTCGCAATCTATTAAATGTCAACATAAACACTCTTCGGTTTGGCACTCTTCTGTTTGGAAATCGTCGTGCATATTCTCGCACCGCCTTTAAAGCATTACCGTTGCAGAAACCGTATACAAAAACCATATCAGCATATTCACTATTAGAATACGTACGCGGCATATTGCAAAAGACAAAATTCATCTACTGTTAAAGGCTTTCAAAGAGCGACTGACAAATTCATAACAGAAAGTGGAAAATGTAATCAAATATGTCGGTGCTAGATATGGCAAGAAATGTAAACATTTTTTTTCGATTTCTCTGAAACGGAGCAAAAACGAGCATATGTCTATAGGACTTTTTTTCTTAGTTTTTTACTCCTCTACACGCTCCCGAAGTTTTGCCATTTAATTTGGAAACACCCTGTATTGGACATTATTACGTTATGCTGACGATGGTCCTTTTCAACATATGTATAAATAAATCGATTGTTTTGTAATAAAAGAGACGTTTCTAATAAATTATAATTTTTTAATGAGAGGCAAAAATTAACATTTTTCGCATTTTTAAATATGCGAATTATTATCTTATTTGATAGCTCATTTTTGTTCTTTTCTATTTTGTAAGGTCGGTCTTGAATATGTTGGAATCACGTGTTTCAAAGCTAGAAGATATCTCAGAACCAAAAGCGATCTCAACGCTCATTCAGCAGAGAAACTTACCGATTCCGACTAAATTGTGAGTTGATTTAGATCAGTTTCTTTCTACTCTTTTTTTTTCAATCGCGCTAAATCAACCACATAATCGGCTGTATGTTTACAGACGACAAAGACGTTTGTCGGATCAAAGACTAGCCGAGCTAGAGACGCTAATGAGTTTGTCAAAACTTTATTCTCAATCGCTTATTACGACATCTGGACATGGACAACCAGATCCAAGGATAATGTAAGAAGAATTTAATTTAAAAACTCTATACACATATAATCAACATAGTAAGTGAAAAGACAGAGAAAGACAGAGAGAGAGAGAGAAAACATAGAAACAATAACAATAAGAATTAATGTATTTATGATATTAATTTATACATTGTTTTTCTCCTATAATTTTTATATTTCATATTTTAATTTGATAAAATACACACATGTGATAATTTTTCGAATTTGTGTATAACTAATCGACGATATTAATTACAGTGGCCGGCGAAGACGTTTTACGATGAATCAGACTACACCGAGTTAATAATGTATCTATTAAAGCGAAACATCGGAAATCGCGTGTATCCTCTAATTATAAGTAAATATTTTATTTTATTATTACGGATTACACAAGAACTTCGCTCGCAGATTGCGAATCTTTTTTGTATAATCTACGTCTTCGTAACAAAACGTCTTCGATGAAAGAATGCGAAAAATGAGGGACATGGTGACGAAGATCACGTCTTTTTGCAATGATATGCGGCATTAGCGCCACACTATTTTGTATAAATCATGAGTTATGATAATTGTATGTATCGTAAATTCGAAAGTCATCTGTACTCCGAGAATAACGCAAGGCTATCGCTGTCGCTGTATCAGTGATAAAGTCATCGCAGCGGTTGTTCGATTCACGACGGCACGGCGCGGCGGTGCTCGTGCCGTTTCTTATCACCGCGCACGCGACATTTCGCAATTATTTCTATTTGCATTAAAAAAATAATGAGTTGATTACGTTCTGAGATAAAAGAGAGAGAAAGATTAGAATTTTTATATTTTACATTAATAATTTGTAGTATGTGTCTAATCGTGAAAGATTAATTCCAATCGTTTAATGAATATTTACATGCTTTTGACGTTATTATAATTTATTTTATTTTCAGTTGAGTAGACTGATAGCGTCCGAAAAATGAAAGCGTGCATTTCGTATCACGATGAATGAGCCTGGTATATAAAGAGAACATTCTTTGACACATTTAATTGTTTTACGAAATAATTACTTTAGGAGTTAGCAAAATTACAAAACAAAGATTGATGTATAACGACTGGGGTAGGGATGTATGAAGAATATTACAGATTCTTTAGATCCAAGTCTGTTGATATTATATAATTTGATCGAATATATTATATATGATATAAATGTATTATATATATTATTTATATCTATATATTATATATTATACACTATACATTATATATATATTATATATTATTTATTACTTATTATTTATTATATATTATACATTATATACAATGTGTTTCAAAATTTACGACCGCGGAGTGCAAGACGTGATACTTTGTTAAAAAAAAAACATTTTTCTTTAGTAAAGTTGCGTCCGATAAGTATTATAGTTTTTGCAGAAGAGTAGATTAAAATTAACGAGTAAGCGCTCTGATCAATGTGGCGCTCAAGACCGGCGCGCGCTTCTCGCTCACTTGTACCTAATCCTTAGCTAGTATTCATAAGTAATGCCTTAAAACGCTGATACGGCTTTAATATGATTAGTTTACGATAGCTTAAGACTGTACCTAAGAAAGTCTCAGATGTAAAAATCAGTTATGAATACTGGATATTGATCTTCTTTTCCGTATTGTATTGCTTAAAAAATGAAAAATTAGCAAAATGAATATTACTTTCTTCTTTTACATAATAAATGAACAAAAGAATTGTTTAATTCGTAGATCCATCTGAAAATAAAGACAAATGTAAATAGTAATACGCTTGGCAAGCTTCGTTAAACTTTCTGTTCTTCGATCTAAACGCGCTTGGGAAAAAATGTTTTATATATATATATATAATAATAAAAATAATTATAATATAATTATATAAAATTATATATAATTATATTAAAAAATTGACATATTTTATGTACAATTGTATATAATTATATATAAAATATGTCCATTTATATAACATTTTTTTCCCAGGCATATTGCACAATTGCGTATGAGTCATACGTAAGACAATAAGTTAAATAATATATCAATAAACTGAAAGAATAGTTCACTAATTAAATGAATACGTAACGCGAAAAACTAATTTATTTTAAAACTGTGTATTTTGAAACTGTGAAAAATAGAATTAAATTATATTCGAGTTAAGATATTTTAAGAGCCATTTCATCCTTATCATTTATAATAAAAAGTACATACTAAAGACTTGTTCAAAATTATTAATTTTCAAAATATTTACTAATTATATAAAATCTCAGTAATAATTGTTTCGATATTTTTAAATTTATTTTTTACACATTTTTAAAACAATGATCTACAAAGAGTGTCAAGAGAATTTATAAAAGTTATATAAAGATAAAAATTGTTTCAATATAAAAAATAAAGATTTACATTTTTTTAAATCAATAATTATTTTAAAATTATACTTCTAACATATGTACCTATAAATAATTGCTTTAAAAATACTGTTAAAAATTTTTTAATTTTTTTTTCTATTTGGATTGCTGATCTTTTTAACAACATGAGAAACAAAACTGTGTAGCCATTTCGGTGAGTCTTTTATTAAGATGATATTTTGCTTGCTTAATTCATTTACTAGCTGTAGAACAAACTGACTAATTTATAAATTTATTTATTAGAAAGTGCAGAAATTTCCAACAATCAGTCGGTCAACCGTTTGCGAGCAATTTCGGTTCCTGTATAAAACATTCATCTGGCCTCATCTAATTATATTGTATATATTTTTATTTTATCTCTATTATTGTCTTCATCTTTTTAACAGCACTACTGCGTGGATTCGTAATATCTGAAGATGGTTCAATCTAGATGCCGAAACATGTACTATTGTTTTAAATTTGAATTTATAGAGTATAATATATTATATATTTTTTATTACATTTGAATTTTGTAATTAACTCTTACATGCCCTTTCTAATTTTCTATTATTTTAAAACAACATGATTCGTGCGCTTATCATACGATTTAAAATGATTGCAAATGATTAAGTTCTAATATAAATAAAGTGAAATAAAAAAAGTAATAAGTGATAGTAAGTAATTACGAATAGATTATTGATTATTTATTGTACAAAATTGAGTTTTACTGTCATAGGGTATTGAAACAAAATCCTCCAAAAAATGATGGGTCAAGTTCTGATTGGCTGCAACAATTAAATATGCGCAACAACACACCTTGTCTACTTGCATCATGGAAGAAAGGCAGAAATTTAAACAAACAAAAATTTATCTCGAGATCGTTGCTTGAACTTCTGCAACCTATTAATTCTTTTCAGAGCTACTCTTTAAATCAGTTGTTTTCACAACTACTTTTACAAACAATTCTTTTTACAGCTACTTTTCACAACAGTTGTTTTCATAACTACTCATACTATTAGTTCTTATCAGTTAAATATTTTTTTCTTGTGTAAGAAAATTATATTTTTTTAATAATAAAAATTCATTTTTCTATTGAATCTTGTAATACCCCTGACGGAAAAATTTCGCTGAAATTATTTTATGTTTTGGAACATTTTTCAGCGAAATTTCAACATTTTAGAATAATTTCAATAAAAATTTCAGAGAAGTTTCAGCGATTTTTCAATATGTTAGCTTCACTTTCAGTGAAATTTCAGGAAATTTTTAGCAATTTCGCTGAAATGTTCCAAAACATAGAATACTTTCAGCGAAATTTTTTCACCAGGGACAAAACACAATAATCAGAAGCACTCCGATTTGTGAGAAACAATCAGGTGAATATAGTATTATCCTTATAACTTTTTACTTAAAAATATAGGTACACAGAAAGTGCAAATAATGACGTAGGAATGCACCGTACACGTTAATTGAAAATAAGAAATTGTAGTAAATTAACCCATTCCGAAAAGTGACGTCTCGTAGAGGTCAAACGGTTCATTACAGGGGGTCGTGCCTGTGGAGACTTTTTATCAGAATGACAAGATCTACAACATATCAAATTTTTAGGTAATTCGACCGAAATTCAATTTCCATAAGGTTTGTGCGGGGTCCTTTTTCGAATAAAATTTTCCTTGGAGAGGACGTTTTGGAATGTATCCCTAAACGTTATGATTGGCCATTAAATTCACGTGACTGGCAGCCAATCACGAGATTCATTCAGGGTGCTACATGTAGCGTGATACGCGGAAAAGTAACCAGGTAACTAGGAACCGCGACAAGCCGCGCAAATATAAATATAAAACATAGCCATATTATAATTTCTCTCTGCATATCTCTTCGGCTGATTTTGTATTCAACAATGTTATCGTAGCCATCAATATCATATATTTGCAGTCTCTATGATGAAAACGACTTAATTGTTAAATTTTAGTAAAAATAGACAACTAAAAAACAAAGTAGAAAAATATTAAAAAAATATATATATGCTGCAAAATTTAGTTTTATAATTCAAATTACATATAAATCAAAAACAAGAACATTGTTTCTTATTTAAATATAATAAAAATATTTATTATATACGTTAGTTCTCGATATTTCTTCAGCTGATTTTAGTAGAATGTTTCCGTCCGAAAATCTTTTCATTTTTGCGTTATTACTATAATAATCTATATTATACATACATTACTACCTTCTTCTTTACTGACTTATTATTGCGCATAACTTTATTTTATATGCAAATCATTACATATTATCGCATCTTATACGAAATATACAATTTTTTATATGTATATATACAGATAAATTTATAAATAATATTTGATCGCATTCAGTATAAGTTTGAATATTTCTAAAACTTATCATTTACATCATTGTTGCATTGAAAACCGAATCTTGTAAAATTTACAAGTTCCTACAGTGTATTATATTTTTGGGAATATACATTATATATATATGTATATATATGTGTGTGTGTGTGTATATATGTGTGTATGTGTGTGTAAGGTGTATGTGTTGTGTGCATATATATAAAATATAGATACATATTTTTTATATCTCTCTATTAAACAAGTCTGGATGAATCCTGAAACGAGAGAAGTAACATCTAGGAGAATCGCGGTTCATGTTAAATTAATATTAAAGATATACTGAGGATATTCCGAGATTCTTTCTTTCCCTTTTAGAATTTCTTCGCGACAGTCGTAACCGCTTTACTCCCGGGTGTGCTTTGCGGCACGAGACGAACAGTTATCAGCGATAGATCGAGCATTTTACGCTGGTATTTCTTGTGAAACACCATGGCGGCAGATTGTGTCTTAAACACAATGGTCGCATTACCTTCGCCCATGCGTATATTCTATAACACGAAGAATAGAGAAAATACTGGTTATTAAATTATCGAGTATATATCGTTTATTTAAAATAGGCACAAATCTAAGTAAAAAAATATATAGTTTTTAAACTGAATGAATCTTGAATGTATTATATAGGCTGCATACATTTTCGAAACAAAATACAGAATAAAGAGTCAGTACGTATACATAGAATTCAAGTGTACAATGAATTATTTTATCTTAATGATTATTTTATAGCATTTGTAGATATTTTTCATTACATTAGCTGTATTAGTAAAAGTTTATGTTTTGTTAATTTTTAAAACTTCTTAAATACACGCAAGCACGCACGCACGCACACATGCACACACGCACGCACACACACACGCACACACACATATATATAAATTATATAAAATTATATAGTAAAATTAATAATTTCAATGTAATATATATAAAATTACATAATTTATATATATATATATTCAATATATTGGAATAAAAATTTTGATGCCAAACATATATTAAACATCATGTGTTTGAAATACATGAAATATATAAAAAAAAACAATATAGCATTGATATTATAAAAGTATTTTCTTTTCCAAATAATTACATAGGAACATTTATGTATATCCTAATATTATAGATATTATAATATTCTCTAATGAAACCATTAAAAAAATATAATCGTTGCATCATGTCAGAAACTTAACGGAATAGAGAAAATTTCTAATATTTATATTTTGATATTAATAACTCGATATAAAACAAATGCTTTATAAAATAAATATTGATGTATTATAAAAATAAAATACTTTTTATTTCTAATACATATCTCTTTGGACTAAATGTAATGATAATACATATCTTTGGAGTTAACAATA